GGGGGGGGCAGCTGCCGGCCGCCCCGGGAGAAGCGGCAAGCGATGCGCCGAGGCGTTCGGGCTCTCCTGCCCGGTGCGAGATGTCACTACGGGGGGGGCTTTCCAAGATTAGATATTTCTCTCATTCATTCTCTGTTTAGCCCCGTGTTTAATTCTGGGCCGGATTAAACGCAGAACTTTCTTTTTTTGAAATCCGCTGTGCGGTCATCCTGGCCCTTTTCATCCCCGGGGAGAGAGAGGGGACCGAAGAGAACGCTAAAAACCGGGGGGTTCCGTGTAGCGTCTGCTTGAGTCCCTGTGAGGCATGGTGTGTGATCTCTTTGATTTTCCACTCTGGTAATCTGTATTAGAGCTTGTTTCATGCTTCTGATGAACCTAAATAGGGAATGGAAATGGCAGTCTTTGTTCTGTGCCCAGACTGGCCTTCTCCTTCCCCATCACCGCCGGCCAATCGCCTGCCCGCTCTGATTTCTCCGTATCTCCCCAGTGCAGCTGCTGCACCCGCCTCGGTGCCTCCGTCGAGTAGATTCAGCTGCCTCAAGACACTGTAGTCAGCTTAAAAATTGGAACGAGTTGAAATATTTGCTGCCACTTAACTGCTTTATGCGTGTGGAGTGGAGAACTGGGAGGTCCCCGGCGCGAGGATGTACTGAGATTTAATCTGCAGATGAGCGGAGTGCTGAGCTCTCTGCAACTTATCATTCTGCTTTTGAATGATTTTTTTTTTTTAAGGACTTTAAAACGTATAGTATTGCCATAGTTGGTGCAGTGCTAGAGATTTTATTAGCTCTTCCTTTAATGTGGGAAATAATTCTTAGGAATTGCTGTCTCCCGTTGTGCAAGTAGGTGAGGTATATATCGTCATGGGTAACTTGGCATCACTCGTGGATATCTTGATCTAAATAAATTAGTTTTATAATCTGATTTGCTGTCAATTTAATGTTTTTCATTAATAAAATCCATTAGCCAGCTAATGCTCAACAGCTCTGTGATAATGCCTTCCAGTGAAATTAAACCTAAGGAGTTTTCTGATTCCCGCACAAAGAACAACGTTCTCTGTCCACTTAGTAAAGTTCAGTTCATTGAGTGGTGCAACAAGGATTTATGAGGGTTTTTTCCATTAATTTAAAAATTGCTGATAGTAGACTGCAGCTTTGTAAGACTTAAAATTGATCATTGGAAGAGCTCCAGATGCTTCCTGCTTGCTTTGGATATTTTGAAAATTGCTGTCCTTTGGGAGCATTCACTAGCAGTCCAAATTCAGCACGATCTGAGCAGGAAGCTCATGAGAAAGAATCTGAAATAAAACAGTGGTTTTAGGAAACTAAGTCTTTTTGCACAGATAACCCCAAACTGATCTGGATTGCTCAGAATTTCTCAGTTGCTGTGGCAGGCACCTTTGGGGGGTGTCGTGTTGGGAGAAGCTGCTGTAAAGCTTACTATGGAATTTAGGTCTGGGCCAAAGATTGTACTGCGAACGGCCAGCACAACTTAAGCAAAATGACTTCCAGACAAAGAAATGACTGATTATTGAATGTCAGCAGTATTTCTATTCCAGCCTTTTTTCAGGAGTGGAAGTTACTTGTCCTGCCTGCCTCTGGGAGGGAACCCTGCAGGAGTTCTGCATTGAAACTAAAAGACAACTTCATTAAAAACAATATGTAAAAGTAGTCTGAAATGCTTTTGTGGTTCTAAAACTGCTTAGCATTTCTAGAGAAAATCAGCATTACTTAGGAGCAAGATGAAGGGTAACACAGTGATGTCATACTGATTCTCGAACAATGTACTGTGTGATGAAAAGGCAGATTTTGGGGTTCTGTTATGCAGTGCCCTGAACAGAAGCTGAAAACTGGGATTTCTTGCACCTTGGAATACGATCCGTGTTTCCTCACTCCTGTGATTCGGGGTCTGTGTGACCTTCCTCTTCCGTGGGAACAAGAAAACCCCTTTTCCTCACTTTGATTTATGCCCTCCATCTGCTGCGGGGAGGGCTGGAGGAGATGCTGATGTTTTGAAAGGCACAGTCCTCTCTGCTTGTGCGCTTTGGGAGGGCAGGAGACATCCCCCAATGTGTTAGCTAGGCATTGAGGGTTTTTTTTCAAATTCTTGTGGTAATCTTAGCTATTTTTGTTTCATGGAGAAATTCCATGTGAAAAGAGCTGATCATCTCTGAGCTTCCTGTGCCGCACGCAGAGATGTGAGCTATGTCATTCCATTAGCATGTCTCTATATAGCTAGCATCTAGTTGGTCCTTATGTTAAATGCCACCCTTTACACCCCCAGAAGCGCGGAGCGGTGAGGAGGGATGGGGATGGCCGGTGAGGGGTGGATTCAGAGCCATGTGCAGGATATTAGACGCAGAACCCATGCAGCACTGAGCAATTGGAGTTAGAGCAACGCGTTGCAAAGCAAGGAGCAGCCTGTGGTATCGGAGTACACCTCGACAGAATCTTCTGCTGACCGTGCTGGTTCTCCTGCCAGATTCGCTCAGTCTGTGTGTATTGCTAGGAAGGGGGGGAAAAAAAAAAAGGGTGTATGGGAAAATCAGATGGATGGGGCTGTGGCCTGGCTGGAGTGACTTGCCAAGGAACCAAGTAGTGGGATTAGAGATGGGCTGAGGTCACGGGGGTGATGAGAAAAACTGCATGTAACCCAGAGCTATACGATGTCCTGGAGCTTGCTTAGCGTGGAGATAAGGCTGTCCTGAAATGGAGAAGATGATCTAAATTTCTGCGTTTCCAATTGTATGCCCTACCCCCAAAGGAGCAGTAACTGCCGCCTTGAACTTGTGCCCAGATGTTGCAGACTGTGATATGCTAATACTGTTTCACTGTTGCATTTATAAATGTGTATGTTGCTAAGCCATGCCAACATTATTAGGTGCTGATGCTAGCCTGCCTGTCACTGCTGTGGCTCTGCCTCCTCCCACTTCTCTCCCAGGAGCCTCTACTACCTGTGCCATTTCTCACAGCTCGCCTCCAGGCTTCCTCCTCCCTGCCTCATGCTTCAGCAGTGTTTCTTTTCTTCCCCGTGCCCCTTCGCCCTGTTCTAGTGGCAGCCCCCCTCCCTTCTCGGCGAAGCTCCAAAGCGGCGCTGTCTCTGTGTCTGAATCCCAGCGTACAGGCTGGAGGGTGGGGGGTGTATTTTCAGCAGAGAGCGGGAGGGAGATGGTGGGGTGAGGCTGTGCCAAATTCTGCGGCTTCCACCGGTAGCAGAGTCCATCCAGGAACACATCCCTGCTTCCTCTCCTGTGAAATCAAACCAGCTGGGGAGCAGTAGCGTAGGAGAGTGGGAGCTCTGCTGTCTTCCAGAGCCTCCCATCCCCAAACTCTTTTGAGGTTTTGGGGGGGGGTGGGTGGGTTTGTTTGGGGGTTTTTTTTGGGCACGGGGTCAGTATTATCATCATGTTAAGATAATACTCGCAGTATTACGAGTAAGCAGAATGTGTCTCTGCTTACAGAGCGCAAGAGTGCTGCAGGACAATGTTTAATATGTGGGGTTTTTTTTTTTGTTAAGAGCTTGGGCTTAGATCAGGAGTAGCACTGTGGCTGCTTAGCCTCCTCCTTGTGAAGCAGCGGTGTTACCAACCCCCTTTACCTACCCCTTAGGATTTCTTCTGAGACAATGCAATCACTGCCCCACATGAAGTCCTGGAAACCACTGCCACACATGCCGCCAGACTGCTGACATTCCCCGTGGCAAGAAGGTAACCTTCTGCTGCACCTCTGACACGGCTTTAAAAAATCAGCACTGAAATGAGGCATGCTTAATCCCTCGAGGTATACGTACGCTTCTTCATATCAGTAAGTGGTCTGACAAACTGCTACCACTCATCAGTTCATTCAGTACTGCTTCGTGTTGCGTAGCTAATGTGCCAGAATGCATACAGATAGCGCTGGAACCCGGAGCAGTGGGACACGTCACAAGTGGCATGTTTTTAGTCCTTCTTCACACCTATTTCCAGACTCGGAGTTTGTTCTGAAGGTGTGAAGGGGACTGGTAGGTCACCCGCGCTGACCTGAATTGCAGAAGCTGGAGAAGTTAAGAGTTATTCTGCTGCGCAGGGTTTTGTCTTCTGTGTTTTATATTTCATTTGAAGACATGGGTGATGGTGGATCCGGTGCTTTTTTTAAGCAAATGGTTAATTGTTTGTTGCCCTCACAGACCGATTCCCAGATGTCGTTGCTGCTGTCGCAGGAGGCAGAATGGATTTTGCTGCGTGGTTGCTGTGAACTGGGATTCACTGGTTTGCAGAGCCTTACGTCTGATTGCATAGGGTTTTCACAAGGTAGAAGATGCTTCTGGGTAGTTTAATTTACATCGAGAAAGTTTTAGGGTGCTTTTATTCTTGATGTCTGCGTAGAAAACACTTCTTGTTAGTCAGCAGAATTCATTTTCAGAAATTCACTTTCTGTTTTTGGAGAACCAGAATATTTGAGAAGCGATTGCATTGCATTACAAAGCTATGCCTAACCAGGGATAAGGCCACCAGTGCCATCTTTAGTTTCCAAATCTTGACTCTCTGATCTGTTCTTATAGCTAAAATTAAAAAACTATGGAAAACTAACCAAGGCAGCCAGCTCTTTTGCTTATTTTATAAATTTGACAGTGCTTGAACTTCTGGGGGTTTTTTGCATAGCATCTTCAGAAAACCGTTTCTTTTTAAAGCAAAAATCAAACTATCTTTTTTCAAAGTGATTAGATCCGGTAATTTTTTTTAAACTAAGGAGTCATGGTAACACTTTTGTAAGGGAGCCAAGGTGCTGTTGCAAGTAGAAATACAAAATTTAGGCTTTTTTTCATAATTATGCAACACGATCCCCAACTTCTATATTTAGATCTCTAAACTAAAACCCAGTTTATATTAGTGTCCATAACTGAGAAGTTAAAATGTTGATCATTTGATCGTGCTTTCTTAAGGTTTGGGGTTTGGTTTTTTTTGGTTGCACATCTCTTTGCTTGACTTCCTTGTGGTCTGCAGCGTTTGAAAGATGCCAGTCGTGCTTCTCGGCCCGTGAGGCTGTGGTTGCCTGTCCGGTCAGAAAGATGATGGTAACCCGTATTTCCTGTTTCTGTTTGGATGATATGAGACTATTACTACGTGGCTATAATAATCTCAATTATCTGATACTCCAACCTGCTGAAACTGTAAACATGAACATTTAGTCTAAAGCGTATAGTTTCTGACATGGACAGAAATGATAGGAAATGCAAGATATTGCAGCTGCCCTCTTTAAATTCTGGTAATGACTAAGCACTCTCCAGTTGCAGTTTTGTCTTGCAGCTTTAATCCGGTTACATGTATAATCTTGTGAAAGTGTCTCTCTTTCCCCTGAGATGTGAGAAGTTGTATTTAGAGCACTTTCGACTCGGAAGAGATATTTATAGTTCTTGGGTTTGCCGATGAAGTGGCACAATTTAACTTCTAAGGAAGGGTCACGCTCCTCCCCTGATAAGCATCTGTAAATAATAATTTGTGTTGGCTCTGCATGGTGTGACCAATTTTTTTTTTTTAGTTGGACCAAAGAGTGGATAATGGCTCAACAATAATTTGGGATTGTTAGTAATGGATTGGCTCCAAATTTGGGGGAACTTGTCATCTAGTTGTTGGCTATTAAATACAAATTGTATATGACTGGACATCTCTGGAAAAGAAAAGCCAGTCAGCTGTGGGCTACATTCTTTTGAAAAACGTTGGGTGTGTGTCTTGTACAAAGGAAAGCACGTTAATGACTGCAAGGACCTATGCTAGAAATGCGTGCCTTGAAGATGATCTTGAGTCTTCTCCCTTTGGGTTGTCTTTTATGAGGTGACTGTCATCTCTCAGTGAAAGTTTAATTTCTAGCCAGATTTGAGAAGGTGTTTGTGTACTAGTTCCTAATTGGCCCACCTTAATGACCTACTTCAGAAGGTTATTTGGACGTTGTTCCAGGTTCCCCTCAGGCTGCAGCGTGCCTTCAGTTCAGTCTGGCCACCTCAGTGTTTTTCCAAGGCTATAAATCACAATATACAATTAGAAAATCAGAATCTTAACTGAAATTCGTAGTGTCAGTATGTGTTGACGCCACTACTTAAATTACAGATTTAAAATAGTGCGTCCGCTTGAACGATGATGACTTGCCCGCTTTGCGGCTGGCCGCTGCGCTAGAGCGAGCGCATCCAGTTGGGTGGCTGGGGTTAGGAGTCTGCACCTGGGGACCGCATTCGCGGTGGAGACAGGAGTTTGGGGACCGATGGAGGAAGGCGCAGCGGAAGTGATGCGCAAAACTGTACTTACAGTTCCCTACTCTTGCCTGTTGAAGTCATTAGTAGGGCATTCTCTGCCGTTCTTTCTTATTTTTGTTCATTATCCCGTTTTTGCCCCTCTGGAATGCCTAGATGTGAAGGGAGGAAGAGACAAGCTGGGTTAGCACTAAAGAGGTGGCCTGTCCGTCCAGATTCTGTTAATACAATTACGAGCGTTCATATATTCACAGAGAATGAGGGTGGTATGTCCTGTCGTAATTCCAACTCTAAAATGATGCTTGTTTGAGGAATATAAGCAGCCCTATTTTTATCTTGTTTAGAAATTGAAAAAATTCAGAAGGGTGAAACAACAAAGAAGGATGAGGAAGAGAACTACCTGGATTTATTTTCCCACAAGAATATGAAACTGAAAGAACGAGTTCTGATACCTGTCAAACAGTACCCCAAGGTGAGGGCCAGGAAATAGCTTACTGAATCTCTGCAATTTGCTTATTTTCTATGGATTTTATGGCTGACTCTTCGAGATAGTAGCTGTCAAAGTGTCATCAGGAGTTATGCTAGTGTTCCACTATCGCTATGGAATTTTTCCTGTGCAGGCTTGCAGGATCTTATTTCTAATATATTACGTTTCCAGAATGTCTCGGGATAAAGCTAAATGGTGATGCATAGCTGTGATCTTTTATTACTAGAATAGACACTTTCATATGTAGAGCTTTGTCTTTTGCAGTTAAGAACTCATTTAACTCTTAAGACTTGCAGCCTGTAAAACTACTGGAGAGTAGATGTTAGAATTAAACACTTTACGTGAGTTAATTTAGCTTGATTATCTGGTGGAGCATTTGTTCATGAAAAGAATGTTCTGGAACATAAATTTCCCTGTGCATTTTTTGGTTTGTATTTTTTGGTGAGGTGAAGAGAAAATGGAGTGGCTAAATTTTTTGTCAGCCAGCGTAACGTTAAGAAAAGCTTTTGTTAAGGCCGCTGAGCTCTGGAGCTAATTTTTTTTTCTTTTTCTTCATTTACAGTTCAATTTTGTTGGAAAGATTTTGGGACCTCAAGGCAACACCATCAAGAGACTTCAGGAAGAAACTGGTGCTAAGATATCTGTGCTTGGGAAGGGTTCGATGCGAGATAAAGCAAAGGTAAACATACATGTATTGGTGCCTTTCATATTGCTGTGAGAAGTAGCGATTCTCAAAGCATTTTATAAAAGATTCAACCATTAAAATCCAAAAGCAAAGGCAGTAGGAGCCATTATCACTCTTCCTTTCTGTGCATGTTGGGAACAATCTTGATTGGGGCAGAAGTGTGATGCATCTTTTCTTTAAAAGCATGACTTAGAGACCAGTCATCTTTTGAGACCCTGTACCCTTGGATACAGGAGTAGCTTACACGGAAGGTGAAGTACAAAGTTTATAAAATAAGAATTAATCCCAGCTACTCTCTGAAAAGTCATTTGCTAAAAGAATGTTTCCCCTTCAGAAAAGAAAAAGAAAAAAACCCACTTTTTCCACCTCTTCCCTGTGAAATCCTTAAATTCTCATGGTTCACTGAAGACGTTGGAGCAGTATGTTCCTGGTAATCTTTACTGAATCACAGAGTGCCAGGAGGGTTTTTTTGAGCAGAAAAAAATTAAAAGAATTTTTTTTTCTTCCTGCTTATCCCCAAGACTGAGCTAGCCATCAACAGAGCTGTAACTTAATTCAGATTTTTACTTTAGCAGCATGAAAAGCTTTTACACTTCCAGTTTATTTGTAGCTTCTTAAAACCATCTGAATAACACAGGTATCTAGAGCAGAGTTAAAGAGCAAACTTGTTTGAGACATTAGACTTCACTGGATGATAAAGAGCACCTCAGGCAGAAAGGTGGTGTAGAAGAGGAAGAACACTGCTGGCATATGCTTAATCGTCTGGAAAAAAGGTGGCTGTCATCAATACATAAGCAAAAATACCGTAGTCACCTGAAAAGGCAGCTATAAAAAGGTGGAAGGTGTAGACTGCGTATGGCTTTTTCTGAAACTGTATGCTCATGTGCATAGTACGTTACCATGGTTCCTGCAGGGCCAAAATGCTTTTACAGACATTTCCTGTTAAGAAATAACAACAGGTAAAATAAAAATAGTTTCTCTGCATCTTGCTTAGTTTTAGAAATCTCTAATCTGGTTTGTTTCAGGAGGAAGAACTGCGTAAAGGGGGAGATCCTAAATATGCTCATCTAAATATGGATTTGCATGTCTTCATTGAAGTTTTTGGACCCCCTTGTGAAGCGTATGCTCTGATGGCTCACGCCATGGAGGAAGTCAAGAAGTTCCTTGTTCCAGTATGTATACCGATGTTCTGTTCTTTTTGAAGGAGGTAGATGGGTTGGGAATCTGGCTGTAAGGATGGGTAAGATTTGCGCAGTGTGAGGCTCGTGCTACAGGAATTGGTGTCATTGAGGAAGCCTGAAGCATTAAATATGTGTGGCAGCTTTAGATGACCCCATTAATCTTGCATGAAGGCATGTATTATTCCCCTAACCATAATTAGAAAGACATACACTTAAAGGGAAATTGTATAGAACACTGAGGGTAGGCATATCTCTCCCAGTACTGCCTGTGGAGACTGGGCTGGGTGAGTAGCTGGTCTGGCTCCACGTGGCAGTTGTAGCAGGAGAATTAACTGTAGCCATGCCTGGCATGGAAGAGACTTCTTGGATGACTTGCTCTGGCTTGGAACTATAGCGTAGAAATCCGGCTAGAAAACTTCATTGGTCAGATCAGAAACTAAGCACCGAGATGTTTGTTCCGCTCTAAAGGGGCGGTGCGAGGAAGAGGAGGGTGACTGCCCAGGCAGCTCAGTAGTAGTATTCAGTGTTGTAGCTAGTTTGAAACACATCTGTTAAATTAATATTTCTATTGTTTTAAATGTGTGTGATGTGAAGGACCCTCTTTGCTAATCAGGCATTTATACAGATGACAGTGGTCATCTGTTTAGGGATGTCTTTTACTGGTGAACCTTGTAAAACCTTTATGGTAGATTCAGGTCACTTTTGTGCCAGCCTGGGGTATTGACTCCAGGAGCTGCAGAACTGGGAGTCTTTTGCATGATATTAAAACAATGTTTTTTCCTTGCTAAATTAGGAAAAAAAAAAAAAAAAACAGAATGGGAAAGAAGCATGCAGTGGTCCGTGCTTCTGGCTAGCTCAGCCTGGATTTAAGACATGGTAGGGAGAGAGCTGGGTAGACCTCGGCACCGTGCTCCTCAGCTCAGACTCGGAGCTCTGATGCTCTGCCTGAAATACCAGGGGCGGGTGGAACCCGAGAGCGGTGCGTAGTAGGGAAGTGTGGAAAAGCGTATGGGTACTGTGTGATTTCTGCGAGTCTGACACGGAGAGGAGGAGAGATTGCTATGTGAAGTGTCTTTGAAGGAAAGAGGTCATCTTCAAGGAGCCCCTGGGACGTACAAAACCTCAGCTTGCTAAAGCAAGCGTGCAGCCTTGCTATTTAAAGTGTCTTATCTATCGCTGCCTTCAAACGATGTGTTAAACTTGTGAAAATTGACAGAGAAGTCACTGTGGAAGCCAGCAGTGCTGTGAAGACACATCTGGTAGGAGACTCCTTGCTTTGTGGTGTTGCCATGGCATCGTGAAGATCCTCGGTGCGAGGCCCAGGCTGCCTGTGTGTTGAGGGGAGGGTGGCGTACGATGACTTCTGCGGGGTCACCAGAGATCTGTGCTATTTTCCGAAGCTAGATCCCCTGAGGCAATAAAAATGCATGGAGCGCAACGCTAAAAAACACATACTGTGTTCCTAAGGATTTGAAGAGACAGCTTGGATTTGCAAATGGGTGTTTGCTCTTCATCAGGCTGCATCCTATCCTGTTCTTTCAGTGTGTCAGGAACACAGCAGTATGTTGTTACCGTATGTGGGCTCATTGCTAGTGTCTTGCCTTTAAGTGGGAGCTGTAAGGTGCTTGGGGTGAGATATGTCCTGCCTGACTTCACCTCTGAACTCTCCAGCACTTGCAAATAAATCTTGCTGACATCCCTGGGATGCAGAACATCATCAGATGCCTCCAGAACCCCTATGAGCAAGGTCGTCTTCCCAGGGACCAGCTGTAGTGCTCGCTGCAGCTCTCGGGCGTGCAGGTGGTGTGCCCTTCTTGGCCGATTTGGAGAAACCTGGCAGTTGTGCGCTGCTGCCTGCTGAGCAAATCCCAGAAAAACTAACCAGCAGATTTTCATTTAGGACTATTAGGTTATTTTTATTGCAGCACGGTAGCCTGTGATATCCTGGAGCACAGACTGGCTAGTTAGCTGTTCTTTGGAGTTGACTCTTTTCCCTCTTTAGGATATGATGTATTATATCTGTCAGGAGCAATTCTTGGAGCTCTCCTATCTGAACGGTGTACCAGAGCCAACTCGTGGCCGAGGAGTCCCTGTGCGGGGAAGGGGAGCAGCTCCACCACCGCCTCCGCCTGTTCCAAGGTATCTTTCCCAAAAACACGTACCTGGAAATGCTGCGTCTTGCTCTGAGTTGTCCTGTCAGTTGAGGTTAAGCTACTCGTACTTGCACATCAGCTGTTGGCCTTGACCTTGGCTTTTGGCCAAGGCTTTCCAGCCTTGCATTGCAGGCTTGCTTTTAGCATGCTGGCATCAAATGTTTTGTATGTTTTGAGATGTAATCTAGCACAGTGGATGTTTTCTGTGTTATTTTTGATATCAGAAATGAGTAGCCTTCATAAAGTAACCTTTCAAGAATTGGCCAGCGAAATCCTGTCTGTGTAGATAGATGTGTCACGTTTGCTTCTGTAGCCTTCGGCAGAATAAGCATTTTCAATTTGAACTGACCTTCCGTGGAAAGTTATAGGATGGCATTATTCTGTCGTTGCTGTCAAGGCATTGGGATAAATTGGTGATAAAACTATTTTACTATAGTTCTTGCTTCACTACCTTTTTCATGGGGGAAGGTCTTTGCTTCTGAGTGTTTAGCCCAGAAGTGTCCCTGGCTCATCTCATCATTGATCTTTACAGCCCTGGAGGTCCGACAGTCATTACAGGTTAGTGATAGAGGATTGGTTAAAATGAACTCTGAGACGTTACTTGGTCAAAGTTGTCTATCGGATTTATTTCTTCGTCTATACAATATCTAATGGAGTAGAATTCTCATCTCGGAAGAGGTTTTTGTAAATCCTGCATTACAACAATGTTCATAATTCTTGTGCTTTCATTCTTGATAAAGACTTCATGGCTTAGTTAATGGTGGCTGCATTTATTTATCAAGCTTTTGCATTTTAAAGTAGGTGTAAGAAGCGTGTGCAGTGCCCTCAGTGTTCAGCACACAAGCAATATAGCAGTAGCTGTTCACAATCCTTTTTATCTCCTTTCCAGGGGCCGTGGTGTTGGTCCTCCCCCTCCTCCTCCTCCTCGGGGGGCCCTTGTGCGAGGAGCCCCGGTGCGGGGTGCCATTGCCAGGGGAGCTGCTGTAGCCCGCGGAGTCCCTCCTCCCCCAGCAGTACGGGGTGCTCCTGCACCCAGAGCGCGGGCAGCCGGCATTCAGAGAATACCGCTTCCTCCTCCTCCCGCACCAGAAACCTATGACGAATACGTAAGAAACTATCTATCTTGGGGTATTATTTTATTCCAGCCAGCTGGTCACAGAATTATAGAATGGTTTAGGTTGGAAGCGACCTTAAAGATCATCTAGTGCCAACCCTCCTGCCATGTGCGGAGTCACATTGTGTATTAGATATTCAGCATTACTAAAATAAGAGCCAACAGCAGTAAGATTGCCCTGGAGAAGTGGCCACCAGTCGCTAGTACGGTGCTGGGTGACCTACTCTACCTCTGTAGTCCTCAAAGGAAGGAACCACTAAAATCAGGGTAAGGAGTGGTTTTTATGAAATTGAAATGTGCCCCCAAAGACCGAAGGTTGCTGTAACTATCAGTGCACGGTAGAAAAACTACATCACAAAGATTGGTGTAGTTCACATCACATTCTCTTTCTGCAATAGAATTCTTTGAGCAAGAAACACCAAAGATCTCTTACTTCCCCTAAAATCCTTAAAGTAAATATGTGAATGAACGTGGTGATGTTGCAAGTCATATAACTAAGCACCACTCTCCTGCCAAGTTTGTCTTAGCATCTTTGGTCTTGGTATTCTCAAGGGAAAACAAGATGACTGGTTTTGATGCACAACAGCATTTTGGAGGACCATCCCAAATACTGATATTTCTAAATTGTGTTTCTCCTCTCAGCAAAGCTTCTCAGTTTTTCCACTGAAACCAATCATAAGTTAAGGGGTTGCATTTTGTCTGCTTGTAAATCTGTGTTTTAGTTAACACCGTGACAGGCCTGCTGGCACGTGGATTTGTACCACAGACAAACTGCAGCCTTGGATGCGTAAATGACATTCAAATGCGTTGTAAATATGAGTGTGGTTCATTCCTCCCAAGCCAGAGGACACGAGCAGATCTTAGCTACCTGTGTCTTACGACTGAGCCCCTTCCCTGTGGCAGGCAAGGATTCGCAGGCTCCTCTGAAAGCTGCTGTAGCCTGAATTCAGTTTTGCTGTCGCTCTTGATCAGGCATTAACCTTTGGCCCTTCTGTTAACACTGTTTATGTCTTCATCCGTTTCAGGGCTATGACGATGCATATGCAGACCAGAGCTATGAGGGATATGAAGGCTACTACAGCCAGGGCCAAGGGTGAGTTTGCTTCTCCTCTGTCTGTTCCGCAGAAAATTATGCATGAGCTTTTTTTCTTTTAAG